CGACAAATTGAGAGAACGGTTCTACCTTGCTATGTTTTTATCATGCTTCTCATATACCAGACGAAAGGAAAAACCTTGAACTTTTTATTAAAGAAAACAAAAACAAAATCGTTGGAGCGGATTTCGAGCATTTTGGTAATAAAAAGAATTTGCAAATTTTTTCAACAATTTTTTACCTTAAAATACTCCATGTTTGTTTAATTTATATTTGTTAAATATATATTGCACACGATAATATTTCTATTGCTCCAAAGAACCTATATCCCAAAAATTGAAGTTATATCTGCAAATCATAAGTTGCCAGAGCACTTTAAAGGCTCAAAATTTGCCCCAAAATAAGCCAATATCGATACCCATAAGGATTCCCCCAAGCCTATTCCTACATGTCTTTCGCTAGCGAATACTAGCAAACCTTCCGGTGGAGTTTTCCCTAACCTATCGGGATTCTCGATAAAGTGGTCCCCCAGAAAATTGTGCCTGGGCACTAGTAGAGGAAGTGATATGCTAATTCTATCACCTCCTCATCTCTGCAGCTGCTGCAGAAATCGTTGTACGGGGCTCAGAACATGGCGGTCATGTAGCCACCCACTGGCTCAGTGTGTCGTTAGTATTCCTGTGAGAAGCCAAAGGGATCTTCAGCGTTCCCCATCTGGCCATGGGCATATCGGTACAAAACATAATTTTGCAATCTACCTACAAATACTTAAAATAAAAAAAATTAATAAGATATCTAACCACATTTGTTTAGATACAAATTTTTTATTATACATAATTATTATTGTAGATGTAAATAAGAATACAAATACTTATCCCATTTTAACGTTGCAAATTTCGATCAGAATTATCTACAATTTATAATACATACAAATTAGAGTTTAATTTATTTGAAATTTTATTTCTTAAATTTTTTCCTACATTTATTACCATACCCCTAATACAGATAGCCGTTACTGGGTGGGGGCGGAGCACCACCACCATTGCAGCCATTATTCTGAGGACAACCGTTATCGCCGCCATCATCTGGATGTCCGCCACCGGCAGCAATCTTATCCAGTGCATCCTGTATCTCAGGCGGTATGGGAGGCGGCGTTGGTAAATGATCACCCTGTGGTCGAAATCCGTTCTCATCGGCAGTATAGGTCACAAGAAAAGCTTGGCCCTCGGGGCTGGTGTAGGAGAAGGAGCCTTCTGCGGTTAAAACTGCATTGCAGGGATCGTCGGCATTTTTCACAAAACCAGACTCTTGTGCATTGATGCCATTGCCAGTTTCGTATTCATACTGTTGTTGTAAATAGAAATTTTGCGGTTTAGCTATACTTTATTAGTTTGGCTAAGGTTGTTTTTTATATTTTTGGAAATTACTTGATATGAACCATCGATATTGACTTTAGATTCCAATTTGATGATAGGTATATCCGAACCTGCTCCAGGCGCGCCGCCACCACCGCCACCATTACCGAAACCGCCACCCCCACTAGGTGGCGGATATGAATAGCCTCCACCACCACCACCACCACCACCAGGTGGCGGTTGTGGTCTTGGTGGTGGCGCTGGTGGCCCGCCCTTCGGATAGCCGCGTGGTACCGCCCAAGTTTTGTCAAAGAATATGCAACACATCACAAGTATTAACTGCAAAATAAGCAATTTGAAATCGAAAAAATAATTTTAATTTGTTCAAACTTTTGTAGCACTTTTTTTTTTTTTTTTTTGAGTTAACAAACCTGCACGCTGCGCATGCTTATGGAAGAGCTCCTCGCTCTGTGTTTAAATTATTTAAAGAACCAAACCACACTGCTTTCAACTACCGAAATTACACTGACTTGCGAAGTCATTTGGGATTTGGTTTTATAAACTTAGATGGCTGAGCAACGTTTCTTCATTGCCGCTGGATAACATTGTATTACAACGATTGAGTGATCCTCACGCACCAAAAGGTCAGCTAGAGGCTAATAAAGCAGACGAAGAAGTTAAAAGTGTGATAAAGATGGAAGCACTGGAAAAAATCGCTGAGGGGCTACTGAAGTGAATAATTCACTGACTTTATAAAACAACTCGCAGATCCGCAACGCAATCAGGCAATTAATAAATACCAAAATTGCGCCTTAGTGCGACCTTTTACAGCATCCTAAACACAGCGCCATCTATGGAGCAGAATCAAAAATACTACTTTTGCCAATAACTCTACTCAAGGAGCCATCGTTGGCCCCCATAAGGACAAACATTTTTATCGCGGCAGCAAGCTTAAAAACTTCACTCGATAGAATTTTATCACCACAAAATTTAGTCCTGACCAGGCCCTTGGGGTTCTATTTGTATGGAGGTTCTATTCAAAAGATGTATGTATGTCCTTTGAGTCCCTATCGAACCCTTGTTATTACTGCGTTCTGAGTTTACCAACTCGGTAGTTTTAAGTCTCGAAGAAGAACAACCAAATCCTGGAAATGTTGCCTCAGCGACCTTGTTCCCCTCGATTCCGCGGTGAGCATAGCGTTACCGTGCTTTTCACTGTCAACAGTTGAAGAATGACAAACATTGCTTAATGGGCTAGGAGGTGATAATCCTCTTGGATAAGGCCCTAACGGACGCTGAACTGTCTAAAATGATAACTATGACCTTAAAAGCCTTTTCAAGGTTCAATTCGCCACAGGTTAAGATTGCTTGCACCTCGGCTGGAAAGACTATAAGCCATCTACGCATTTCAATAGCAAGTTTAATGTGGAGTCCATAAACCCCCGCACATGTTCTGCTGTCCATCCTTGAACCGTCTATGTAGTACCACTGTGTGTACATATCTGGGATCAATGGGAGGTGGTCAATTTGCCTTGGATTTCTCTGCTGAAACAATTTTTTCAGTATAGAGTCGAAAAACCTGCAGAATTTTTCCCAAGGCATTATACATAAAATATTTTTTTGTTACATTGTCTTATGAATAGTACCGCCAGAGATTTTTGCATTGTACGCATTAATTGCCACATAGAAGTCATAAGATCCCTTTCTAACGCACCCAATAGAAGACCTAATGCAGAAGGACTGTCTGCACTTGGAATAAACAACTGATGCAACTGGTGAATGTTTTTAATCTCGTTCCAAATTAGATGCTTCTGCTGCTTAAATGAAAATATGGAATCCGTCCCAGAAACGACTCTAGGGCCACGTTTGATCCTGTGAGTCAGAGTTAAGCTAACCTCTGAAGTTTATAGCAACATGATGTGGCACTTTTTTACGGTTTTTGGGGCTGTCATACCATATATGCACTCTATTAATCTTACTCGACCAAAGAATTTTTTACAGGTCCGCGTGGCTCGGGCGACCTTGGTAAGAGTTTGACGAGAAACGAATTCGAACTTAGTACCTTATCAAAGTTTAGTCCAAGATACTCGTATTTAACTTCGTTAGAGTAATCTCGCACTATCTCTGCAATGGTAACCAAACCAAGGTTCGGCTAATACTTTCTTATGAATGGTACTAGAACACTTTTTTCGGGTTTATTCAGAGGGTCTTACTGGCACACCAGTTTTATACCAAACGCAGAGCTGGATTTATAACGTCTTACTAGCCAAATACTGAAGGGTAGAAACCGTTAATTTCCCTTTGACATAGGCACTAGGGTAGAGCGAAAAAAATAAAATTATCGATTTCGAAAATTTATTAGTACGGAAAATATTTAAGGTCGCCCCAAGATCCTTAAAATTTCGAAAAATCTCTAAAACTGTGGACTCCGAAGTTAGGAGTCGTATCACATTTGCAAGTTTCGTCAACAGAATTTTATGCAGATGGGAGCCCTTAGGCAGAAATTGATCTCCACATTACTCCTCCATGATTCTCTTTTGGGCGTCTAATACGTTTACTATAGTAGGTGAAATCAGCAGTAACGGATTCCAGCTGGTAACCAATGGTCAGATTCGCTGACATCTCCATTTTTCGATTGAATTTGTGGAAGGTATCAGCGAATCTGCATCCGTAGTCAT